ATGGAACGCCCCATATATTCTCGCCATATAAAATATACGGAATATTTCGAAACCCTGGAGACATGATTGAATATTTAGCAATTTCAAAAAATACATGTAAATTTCTGTTTTTGTACTTCTGCTATTTCTATTTGTATATTTTTCTATAATTCTAGTATTTGTGCATTACCCTAATGTTCACACATACATACATATGTACACACATAGCTATTGTGCGCATAACAAAAAAGCCGGCAGGCATCGCACAAACTTTCTTTAACCAAGCCACCTTAGTTCAACTAACATTTTTCCTATGGATTATATGCATACATATGTTCTGATACAATATCGCCAGATTCTGAGACTTAAATTGTAGCTGTTGATGCTGACAGTTTGCAGGTGATTGAGCGGCTTGTTCGCATAAAATTGAATTTTACAAAGACGACAATGCGCTCAAGATTGAGACCGGCATGCGTGGGAGGAACGTTTCACGAACGTATTGTAGGAAATGAGTAATTTAAAATTGTGAAAGCAGAGCAATCACTTATTGAATTGAGTATGTAAAAGAAAATGATTGAATAGGCGCAATTTTCCGTGAAAAGTGTTGTGTGAATGATTGAAGGATGCACGCGGAAGGGAAGTGAAAGCGTATGAAAGTTATTATCCAAAGTGGAATTACTTCTTTAAAATTTTGATGAACTACTGAAAATTTGTATTTCTTTGGCTTTCGGCTTAATCGATCATAGAATTTTTATATGAGTTCGTGTACGGCAATACTGGGGGTATTTAAAGTCAACAGAAAAAAAAATACCCAATTACCTTTTTGGACATTCCGTGCTCTAATATGGTCTTGCTTAGAATCTGGACAGAGAGTACGGGACTCTGAATAAACCCCGATAAAACAGAAGTAATTCTCTTCACAAGGAAACATGGGCTTCTTGCGCGCTCCCCGCTAATTTTCAAATGCGGGAAGATTCCTTTGAAGGAGAATTTTAAATATCTAGGACTCAAATTAGATAGGAAGTTTACATGGAAAACTAGTACAGAGGACAGGGTTAAGAAGCCCAACATTTCATTATACACATGCAAGCAAGCGATCGGAAGCAAATTGCGGTTAATACCTCGCATTACTCATTGGCTTTACCATTCTGTAGTTAGGCCTCTGGAATGCTTATATGGTGGCCATCAACTCAAAAGGCTAGTAATCTAAAACTCCTTAGTAAGGTCTCTGGTGATAAAAAATCTGCCTGCTGTATGTTTGGCAGGAAAAGACGTGGCCACCGCTTTGGCGCTCAGACTAAAATGTATGGCGTTATGGATAGATCGGTGGCTCAGCCACGCTTCTAAACTTCATGCCCTGGATAGTAGTGATAAAGAGATCGACTACTCAGCCCCTTAACCCATCTTCGATAGGCTCTTCAAGACAAAAACTCCGTCAAGACCATAGGGAAGGGGAAAATAAAATGTTTACAAGGATGTATCCAAGCTAGATAATACGGCTGGCCAAGGAGTTTTCTCTGAGTAATTAGGATTGGAATTTTCCGTACGAATTCCGGATCACAGCAGCGTTCATTAGGCAGAAGTTCTAGCCATAAAGCAGGTGGCGGTGTGCCTTATTTCACATGCCATAATGAAGGCAACGGAAAAATATCTTCTCGGATAGCCAGGCGGCCATCGAATTGATGAATGAATGCTTAGATCAAACATTGCACAGGAATTCCTAGTCGACCTAAATGATATTAGAACCGAATTTAAGATCAGCCTCATATGGGTCCCGGGTCATAGAGATATTGAAGGAAATAGCGGGGCCGATTAGCTGGCCAGGGAAGGTACCTACCCTCTACTGTGATTAGAAATAGCATTATCCAAGAGACCTATAGGTCATGGTTAGATGCGAGTACTTGTGTAATAGCTAGGCTACTATGGCCTTGAATTGATACCAAAAAAGCTGAAGTACTTCTCAGTCTTCCAAGATAAGACATTTCGAAAGTTACGAACTGTGGCTATTTGGTAGGCACTCTTCGAGACTAGATATATTCTCCCATGAACTTTATGGAAGTTGCAGAGATGAGGAAGAGGAAGTATCAGTCGGGCACTTGTTCTGCAGCCACTCAGATTTAGCAAAGAGCAGAGCAAGCTTTTTAGTTTAACAATTATGTTGCTATCTCACGGAATTATCCGGTGCAGGAATAAAAGCAATCTAAGGCTACATAAAAGCTTCAANCGTTGATGAATAAGAAAGTCGCGCGCTGCTCGCTGGCATAGTCGAAGTCAGCTTTGGCAGCCATATGACCGCGTGCTAGATAAATATTCTTGTTGGAGTTAAAATATTGGCTAGCATCACCTCCCAATTGTGAGTTAATGGTTGCCTCCTGTGTAGTTTGTTTGTATAAATTGTCAACGTTTTTGCCATCGAAGAAGCCAGCGGTTTGGAAAGTGATGCGATCTACGCCAGTTTGATAGTAGTTGCTGCCTGGATTGAGATCGTGATGCACATAACGTGTCACCTCTTCGTCTTCATCGAAGCAGACTTCGTACTGTTTGGCGAAACGGCTGGAGGAGATTTTGAAACCTACGCGCACCATAACGCCACCATTACATGAGGCGCCGGACTTTTCAGCTACAAAACCTGGCCAGGAATTGCAAGTCAGTTCCTTGAAGGAGTAAGTGGTGCCATCGACCTTGAAGTTGCTGCCACTGACGCAGGTGGCGGTGATGAGGGTTTTGGAAATTGATGAAAATTTGCCAGGGCACCACATCTCCAATGTCTTGCCCGTATCAACAACCATAACACCGGTGGCATCATAGGGATAGAATTCCTCTGAGTCTGTCTTCAAGTAAACAGGCTGCGGGCTGGGTAGGCCGCCGCGTATGGTTACTTTGCATTCTAAGTGGGGCGAAAGGGAATGATTTATACATACATATGTATGTTAAAAACTTGTAAAATTTTTGATATATTTTTTCTAAACTCACCGCTTGCACGTCCTTCAATAACTTGCGGCACTTCAGGTGCATTTGCGTAGACTTCCTCTCCGCCCTCGTTGTAGGGTTCTGGCTTCACGTAGTCCTCTTCACCATTATTCACTTGTGGTTCTTCAATTGCTTGCGGCACTTCAGGTACTTGTTCGGAGATTTCTTCAGGGCCCACATTGTAGGGTTCTGGCCTCACGTAATCCTCTTCACCGCCATTGATGGGTTCAACGTATAAGCCACGCTCGAAAATAGGCGCAATAATTTCTTGCTTATTCTCACTTAATGGCTCTGGCTTAGCATACTCCTTATCTCCAACGCTGATGGGCACGATCAGCTCTGGTGGTTGAGCATCGATCGCTTGCTCTGCACTACCAATTACACCGGCAGTGCAGCCCTGGAGGAGGCAGCAGCTGCCTGCTACGAGCAGCAATAACGTCGTTGTTAACTTCATAATAACCAATTTGGTTTTGGCCATCGCAGTCTAGATGGGTTGGCCTTAAATACCAAACTGATAAGAAATGGTAATAATGTGTCTTCTTCTCCATATTGCCACTATTTTTGCTCATTAAAGACGCTCAATTATTATTATTTTTTTTTAAATATATTTTGGCCATAAATTTGTAGGGATTTTATACGAAATGATAGGCGTTAAATCAGTGTGAAGTGTGAAGTATATCATGATTATTTTGCAATTCTTTCTTGGTTCTGTGATAGCCCGCCGGACTATCTGGCACTTACGTCCATTTAATTATCAGTTTAAAATACGCAGTGATTTCTTATCTTCAAGTAGTTTTCATCTAATGTGGGCACTCGTACAAACCGAACTCAGCTGGTACTTTTTCATTGATTATTGTGTCAGACTGTAATATTTCGTCGCTTGGCACGTAATACCTCGTATCCGCCAAATACAATAAAAATGCAAAAAAAACATTTTTTTTTCTTGAAAACGTTTGAATGGTGAATATAGGGCTGCTTTTACACCGTGCTATAAGTAGATACTTTATGTGCCTGAAATGTGATTGAAGACATTCAAACTTAACCTAAGCCCTGGTTAGGGAACAAGTGACCAAAGGTGAAAATATTTACTTTTGACTTGACCTTGGCTGAGCCTTTAGACTAATCTATTTAACCTACGGTTTTGATTTGTTAAAATTTGTTAAAGCTGGGGCTGCTTTCGCTTTAATACATTTGTAAATGCTAGTGGACAACGAGGTACGTTCCGATCCCGAAGCCACTACGTAAATTGTTGATGTAGGTAAAAATAAGAAGACTACTACTTTTATTAGGTATTCGACTCTGAATACCCTGATAAGAGTGGGCGCCAACATTTGCATAGGCTCTTAGGTCTCCTATCTTCAATCCCACGATGCAAGAGAGGCCATGAAGAACGAAAGCCTTGCAAGCAAGTTTCGATAATGCACCTGGGGTTTATATGAAAGACCGGAAATCCTTGCTTAAAAAACAGCGATCGGTGGTGGAGCAGCATTCTTCATTCTAGGTTAGCCAGGCATTGCTTTATTGAGGTTACATAATTCTCATTGGGGTTCTTGACCGCTGTAGCTAACTCGGCTGCATAGAGCGGTCGCAGTAGAGGTGTGTGAAAGCGAGTCTACGACAAGATAGTTGCATGCTTGGCGGTGAGGGAGGTGGTTTTATTGGCGCTGTGCTTGAACGCAACTGGTTGGACATACATTTATGGTAATTTACAGTCAGCGTCAAAAATATGAAAATATAGTTCGTTCAACAGAAAAAAACGGCAGAATCAATTTTTTTATTTTTTATTTTATATAGAACTAGGGAAAATTTAAGATATACGAAACAAATTTCATCAAAATTTTAAACTTTTCAATTCCATTTCTTAGCAAAATTTTTTAGTACGTAGTTTTATGGCACAATACATTTTAGCATAATGAGGTGCAATATTTATGTCCAGTTTTTTTTTTTTTTGATTTTTATGTTTCCACAAAGTTATGTTAGGTTTTTAAATAGCCAATATTTAGTTTTCAGTTGGCCAAATTTGTATTTTCAGGTCTATAATTATCAAAACACCAAAAATCTATTTTCAGTACCTAAATCAACAAAAATTGAGGTTCAAGATTTAAATTGTAGATAAAATATTAATTAAAGTTTTAAATATCGAAAATTTATGTGCAGTTTTCAGACTACCATACGTTTAAGTCCACGCTATAAATTGTAAAAAAGTTGATATTCCATTTATGAATAGATAATCAAAAATGTATGTCCACTTTCCAACTACCAAAAATTTATGTCCAAGTTTTAAATTTGAGAAAAAATTAATGTTCAGCATTTAAATGGCCAACAAAAATTATGTCCAGTTTGTGAATAAAAAAAAGGTGTAAAGTATATAAATAAACAAAAATGTATTTCCGGTTCTTACTTTCGACCATTAATGAGGCATTTTCTTTTTTTTTTATACGAATCGAAAATTTTAAATTTTTGTACAGAAAATGACAGGCAATTTTCATGACTTTCGATTCGTATGAAAACAAGAATACACCCCAATAAATGAAAACTCTAAAGCTGAGTTTCATTAACCAAGTTTTTATAATTCTCATCATTGCTCTAATTTATCGTAGGACATATCATTATTTTGACGGGTTTGATCAGGCTATCTGGGATGTCAAAGATAAGAAATATTTTTTTTTTTTTTTTAAATAAATATTGGTTAAAATGTACATATATGTATACTAACATACGTTGACAGCATGAATGAAATTAAATTATATTCTTATCATAGCTACTTTATATTTAGTATTGATGTAGATAAGGGTGCTCCTGATAAATATAAAAATCCAAAAGTTGCATGGGGCACTCTTTTACTTTGTTCCACGTAAAAAATAGACATCCCAAAAATTTAAAAATTTTATTTAGACTTTTTTTATACCGCAAAAATTTGAACTTCACATCTGATTAATTTGACATGTTATTGACTTTTACTTATAAAAATTGATAAAGTTGCTGAGTTATAGCCGGTCGAAAGGTACTTTTGCGATTTAGAAAAACTAATAATAATTTTTTCAAACCTTAAAAAGTTGTTTCAAATTGTTTAATTTTTGTGGATGTCTTTCTTTTGCGCGCAGAACATAAAATTTAAATGTTGATATTTTAAGGACCAACCTAATGTATGTATGTAAACATTTGTACAAACATCAAAGCTTCTCTGAGTTAAATAATCACGACACGTGTGCGTACAAAATAAAATACGTATTTATCTAGAAATTATTTTGGTTGAAGTTGCTTTCTTGAGCAATCTCGTGAAATTGGTCTTTTAGTAGCAGGCACATCTTCATTTTCCAAGCTGAGTATTAGGATTTTCTTTAGATTGGTATTGTAATGGTAGAAGCTTTGGAATCTATTTCTATGTTGCAGTGCTTCCTAATCGCTGTCCGTAATTCAATTAGCGAATTTTTGCGCCATTTTGATGCACTAGTCGCGGAGGTTATTTGTCTATGTGCACCCTATGTTGATTGGTCGAACCATTTTGATTCTGTAATGAATCTACCAATTTTGCTTACGGTAGTTCCTGATAGATCGGTAAATTGTGCTTCTAGTTGTTTACCTAATATTTTATGTGTGATATTCGAAAGGCATTCACAAAAGAAGTGCTGGAGACTTTCTTTGCTATCTTCTAGCTGACAGCTGCGGTAAATCCTATTAACTATCCTATTTTTGCCTCAAGTTTTTCTAGGGCCAGTGTCGCGAGATGTTTGCTACAATTCTTTACGCCTCTGTTCTTGATATGCTAAGCAGGTTCAAGGTGTTCGTCCTGTTGTAATCAGGTCTATCTGACCACTTGTCTCTAGTCAGTTCAAGGGAATGCAGGTTAATATCTCTTTGGACTATTCCAAAGGGGGCAACTTAAGGCTTCGGATTCGCCCAAAACGATTTCTGCATCCGGCAATTTAGCAGCCGTCTTATTTGCATGCAATATTCCTATGTCTGGGAGAATTTCAGATCTACTTAGATCCTTTTGATTCTAACCCCTTCATATGAGGTTTATTACCACATCTCGTCTCCAAACGTTAGGCGTTTTTTTGCGAAAATCTTTTTTATAGAGAAGTACATTCGAAGGCTTGACATTGTCTGCAAAGGGCTAATCGCTATAATTGAGCATTTTTAATATTTTTCAGTCCAGGAATAAACTGGTACGTACCTCTAACTACAGGGGCAAGGCGTTGGCCAAAATTGTTTAAGCTTTTGTTATGCTATCTTCAAATCAGTGTCGTAAAATAAATATGTTAAAGTTTTAAGCCTTAAATACTTTATTTAACAGTCACGGTTGCTGCAGCACCAAAGAAATATCTATCAATTAATAAGTCAGTGCTACCAAAAGCTGTTGGCGACCTTCATTAATTAACATGGCGCTGGCGCTGACTTGTGGTATCTTATCTGCGACCATAAGTACAAACAAATTTTAAGAGAAAAGTTTGCGCACCGATCCCCGAAACACTTAGCGCCACACTCTAAGGTCGTGATTTGGTTTAGCGGCAGGCCGGCTTCTTCTTTCACGCACCTAATTGCGCATTCAAGCATTCATTCACTGAACATCCGCTTCCTAAACCACGACATTTGAGGGTTGAACGTGGCAGGTGGGCTTTTACGCGTTAGATTAGCAAACGAAAAGACAGGTTGGGAGAAAAAAATAATAAATGAATCAAACAAGCAGGCATTAGGGCAGCTGTGAAATGGCCATACGCCAGCTGGCAATCGCTAAAAGTGTTGGCGCTTCAATATGTCAAAGATTGGACATTGATATTAATTAATGGAAAATAAAATGGTCAATGATTTGGATAGGGAAAAAGTGAGAACAAGATCTAAAATAAATAAATAATAGTTGTACAAAACAGGACCAGCAACGACAAATACAATTAATCAGCGATGAAGGACGAGCAACAGGCAAATTGGCTAATTGTACAAAGAGCAGCCAAAAAAGCAAGAGACGTGTCGGAACACTTCAATGGTAATCATGGTTGCCGTTTTGGTGCAAATGGACTAAATTTGGTCCATTTCTTTTCGTTCGGTCCATTGGTCCAAATATTAAAAAATATATGGAAAGGTAGCAAAACTTTAATCATAGCATTTAGTACATGAAAAGAATATTCGATTTCAATCGAAATGATATTAAATTTCATGAAATTATTACAACACATATAGTTCTTTCTGATACGGATGCATCAATTTTGCCGCTACTCGACCAATTTTCAGCATTGATTAATGATGCAGACATAATTGAATTTCGATTTCGAAAATTGAGGCTGAGTGAAGGTAACTTCGAAAAATGTACCAATATAGAACGTGGGATCAAGTAAGTTTGATTAAAAATGGATGTAGAATTTGGTGATTTAGTTCATAACATTTTTAGTCTGCCTTACAGTTCCGCAGCAGCTGAGCAAAATTTTTTTGATTTTTGATATTTTCTTGATAAAGAGCAATAAACTCCACTCAATTTCCCAA